CTTTCCCCCAATATTTTATTATGAAAAATTTCAAGCATGCATAAAAATTGAAAGAATTTTACAGGGAACACCTGTATAACCACCAACTTTGAACTATCAAGATGCTCCTGAAGAATAAGATGGAGAGAATAAGACAGTCTGATATCAGCCTGAAGTCAGACAAATAGGGCATCAAACGCAGAAGCCAGAAACTGACCCGCACACAAAAGCATGGCTGTGTAAGAAGAAGCGTTGCATTTGAGGAGAGGGGAGGAGGCAGTAGGATGGACTGTTTGATAAATTGTGCTAAGGGAATGGGTTACCATAAGGAAAATAAATGGTATTAGACTCCTACTGCACATCATACACAATCAATTCCATGTGGATTAAAGACCTAAACATGAAAAGTAATGCCCTAAACATTTTTAGAAAAAAAACATAGGAGAATATCTTGGTTGCTTCAAGGTCAAGAGAGATTTTTTTTTTCTTACAACTTTATGGAGATATAATTGATATACAGCACTGTATAAGTTTAAAGGGCTACAGCATCATGATTTGACTTACGTACATTATGAAATTATCATAAGTTTAGTGAACATCCATCATCTCAGATAGATACAAAATTAAAGAAATGGAGGACTTCCCTGGTGGCATAGTGGTTAAGAATCTGCCTGCCAATGCAGGGGACACGGGTTCGAGCCCTGGTCCGGGAAGATCCCACATGCCACGGAGCAGCTAAGCCCGTGTGCCACAACTACTGACCCTGCACTCTAGAGCGTGCGAGCCACAACTACTGAGTCCGCATGCTACAACTACTGAAGCCCACGTGCCTAGAGCCCATGCTCCACAACAAGAGACGCGACTGCAATAAGAAGCCCATGCACCACAACGAAGAGTAGCCCCTGCTCTCTGCAACTAGAGAAAGCCCGCACGTGGCAACAAAGACCCAACGCAGCCAAAAATAAAAAATAATAATAAATTTTTAAAAAAAAGAAATGGAAAAAAATTGTGATGATAACTCTTAGGATTTACTCTGAACAACTTTCATATATAATATTCAGCAGTGTTAATTCTATTTATCATGTTGTACATTATATCCCTAGTACTTATTTATCTTATAACTGGAAGGGTTTTTTTTTTTTTTTTTTTTTTTTCAGTACGCGGGCCTCTCACTGCTGTGGCCTCTCCCGTTGCGGAGCACAGGCTCCGGACGCGCAGGCTCCATCGACAGGCGGACTCCCAACCACTGCACCACCAAGGAAGCCCTATAACTGGAAGTTTGTAGTACCTTTTGACTGCCTTTATCCAATTCCCCCTCCCCCAGGAGAGATTTCTTACTACATAAAAGCAGATTATAAAGGAAAATATTGAAAAAAATTCATCCACAATAAAAAATGAAAAACTCTGTTAACCCAAACATTGTAATAAAGCGGCAGGGAAAGCCACCAAATGAGAAAAGGTATTTGCAACCAAATGATTCACATGCAGAATATACAAAAACATAGATATGGACACAAGATACAAATAGGCATTTGCCAAAAGAGGAAACAAGAATCATCAATAAACATGAAAAGATGCTCAACCTAATCATTAATCAGAGAGATACAAATTAAGGTCTTATGAGAGATCAACTGGCAAAAATTTGAAGTCTGACAATGCCAAGTGCTGGTAGGAATGTGGATCTGTACACTGCTGATGGGCGTACAGCCTGGTTGTGCTGGTACAGGACAGCCACACTGGTAATAATTGTACATCAAATAAAACTGAAGATGCACACTCTCAGGAATTCCACTCCTGGGTATACTGTGCACTCTAGAATAGTGGTTCTCAACAGAGACTGAACATTAGAATCATTAAGGATCTTCTAAAGAATACTGATGCCCAACCTCTACTCCAAATCAACTGAATTGTTATCTCTGGAGAAGGGGCCTTTGTTGTTGGAAATGCTAAAAAGCTTGCACACCAGGTGACACTGCTGGCTGAGAACCATTCCCTGGGCATGGGCAGAACATCCCTATTGGAATAGTAAAAGACTGAAAACAGCCCGACTCACAATCACTAAAGAGATAAATCGTGATATCTTCATGTGTAGCATACAATGCAATAGAGAAAAATAAATGGACTAGGTATGTGTATCACCATGGATAATTCTAACAGAATGCTTAGCTCAAAAAGCAAGTCTCCAAATAATACGTGCTATTTAAGTTCAAAAAAATCGACTTAAGGTCAACATACAAAAATCTGTTGTGTTTCCACACACCAGCAATGAATAATCCTAAAAGGAAATTAAGACAACAATTCTATTTACAATAGTATTCAAAAGAATAAAAGTATCTGGGAGAGACTTCCCTGGTAGTCCAGTGGTCAAGACGCCAGGCATGGGTTCCATCCCAGGTTGGGGAACTAAGATTCCCGCGTGCTGAGCAGCGCAGCCAAAACAAAAAGAATTACCATCTGATCCACTTCTGGGTATATCCAAAAGAATTGAAGGCAGGGACTCAAACAAGTGTTTGTACACCAGCATTCATAGCAGCATTATTCACAATAGCCAAAATATGAAAACAACTGTTACTGAACCAGGTTCGTTTTGCCCATTGCACAAGCTGAAACGCTGGGACACTGAGGTTTGCAGCAAAGAAAGGGTTTATTCATAAGGCAGCCAAGTGAGGAGATAGGAGAACAAGTCTCAAGTCTGCCTCCCTGAAGGCAAGGGGCTCCGGGGTATTTATGGGATGAAGATAAGGCAAGCAGGGCGGTCTGAGGCATGGGGAGTGTGGGGAGCGTAGGGAAAGGCGATTGGAAAAAGGGGCGATAATCTTCATTCTGCACAGGCGTAACTGAACTACAGGTCTCTGCACATTCACAGCACAATCTGAGGGTGGAATTTTGGCCCTCTGACATCAAAAGGTCACCAAGTGGGCACTCGAGCATGCCCAGTTGGAGGGTCAGTGGTCCTATCCAGTCTTAACCAGCTCACCTTGAACTAGGCACAGCTGACTCTAAGTTTCTGGAAAAGAACTCAGGCAAATATCTTATTGTTTAGGCCGCTGCGGCTTGGAGAACATGCATCTTAAAATGACCTTGATTAGTGAAGGCAGGTGAAATGGATTTGACTCATTACCCACAGTTTTGCAACCAAAATGTCCATCAGTGGATAAATGGGTAAACAAATTTTGATATGTCCATATGCTGGAATATTATTTAGTCATAAATAGGAATGAGGTGCCGACATCCATGATAACATGGTTGAATCTTGAAAACATTATGCTAAGTGAAAGTAGCCATACACAAGAGGCCATGTATTATTGTATGATGTCTCCAGAATAGGTAAATCCCTAGAGATGGAAAGCAGATCGGTGGCTGAGGAGAAGGGGAAATGACAAATGACTGTTTCACAGGTACGGGGTTTCCTTCTGGGGTGACGAAAATGTTTTGGAACTGATAGAGGTGCTGGTTGCCCAAGGTTGTGAATGTACTCAATACCACTGATTTTCTTACTTTAAAATGATTCATTTTATGTTGTGTGAAACTCACCTCAATGGCAAAAGAAACCGGAGGACTGTCTGTATTTTTAAGGAATGCATTCACTTGTAACAAAACTCTAAAAACATCAGGCAAATGAGAAACACGAAGTTCAGTTCACCAGCGTGGGATGTAATTGGGGAGGGACACCCTCCCCAGCAGTCTCCGTGTTCTGCTTTTTAAGTCACATGATTATTCGTTATACCATTCTTCTTTGTATAGGTTACTAACATTCTTCTGTATGTCCTAAGTTGCAAAATGCACGGTGGAGGCCCCTTGGTGTCCATGGAGAGTCTTGCTTCTCTGATTCTGTGAATGTCCCAACCCCTCTGTCAGCCCCAATGACAAGGTTGCAAGGACACACCCTGTAATTAGCCAGGCCATTGGCTCCACTGTCTCCCTGTCCCTGTTCCCACCACTTTCTCCCTACCCCCCTCAGGCAGGGGGTCCTTGCTGCCCCCCAACACACACACACCTACCAGATACAGATCCCAGCTCACACCCGTCCCCCACCTAGAACGC